AGATTACATTTCTTTTACAACACGCATGAAAGTTCTTACACTTATAAATAAGGATTTGGTTGTATTAGACTTATGATTTTTTACTTGGTGAACAAAACTCTTAATTATATTTTTGAAAAAGTCAAGATTATAAGAAATTCAATCTATTTAAGAATTATATTTTTTAAATTATAATAATTCTAAAATAATTGAATTAAAAAAAGATCTAATTATATTGAATATCACAAAGCTATTATAATCATTTTTTGCTACTTCTATAGAAAATATTTCATCGCTAATATCTTTGAAAGATAATAAACAACAATCTATGACTTCTACATATATAAGTTTAGTATTCTTTGCTAAAAGTATGCTATAACTTTTAACAAACTCTTCATTTAAAAAATAAATTGAGACTCTTGAATTGAGCAAAGCACAAGATTTGAATTTTTTAGATTATAAACAAACATCTATTATAAAAAATAAAATAAAAAATAAAAAAGGTTTTGAAGAGAGAATATGACTTTTATTAGGTATTGTATAAGATTTCAACCATATAATCTCTATTATAGCTAAACAAACTTATTTTCTAACATATTATTTTTTTTGAAAACCATGCTCTTTATTTTGTTGTTGCGTTGCTTCTTTAGATAATATTGAATAGTGTACTTAGGTTCTCCATAATACAAGCATTATCCTTTTGGATAAAACAATGAGTGATTTCTTATTGAGAAAGAAATTTAAAAGATACTACATCAATTTACATGTCTTCTACTATCAAATGTATGTATTGAAAAGACATTGGTTGCTATTGAATTATAAAAACATGGAAACCTATTTACACAATTCTTAGACAAGATTCAAAAAATTAATTATCACACTTTATATCTTAGTCAATTGTTTGATATAATATATAAAGATCAGCTAAATTCAACATTAATCTCATTATGTCATCCTATAATTCCTAGAAAAATCTATTGATAAATAAAACATCATCCTATTTGATATCTATCACAAGTTTTTAAAATCATAAAGCATATAATATTATAGATTGATTGCTTTGTTGCAAAATAGAAATCTTACTATTTGCAATATAAATTATATTATATTTTTTTATATGAATCAAAACTTTTTTAAAAAAAACCTCTTAATTAACTAATTATAGATCACATCATTCAAAAAAAGATAAAAACTATGATAAAATAGAACTTCAAAAAGTATTTTAATAAACTTGAATTATGATCATGGAATTAAATAGCTTTCAAATTGAAGTTTAATCACAAGTTATACTTAATTGATGGATCATCAAAATATCGATATTAAGCCATCAAATTTTTTAAACAAGGCAATTTTTGGTTCTCTAGTACTTGAACAATATTCTTCTATAGGATAAATAATATGATTTAGTATAGATATTGAAGCAACTCCAATTATCTCCAAATCTTTACTTCTTATCAATCTTATTGTTCTTTATGGTGGTAAATTCATTTGATGTAATGTAAGTGCTAATTCTATTATTTGCTTTTGTATTTATGCTATTGAATTCTTTATTTTAATAAGCTCTACTATGATAAAAAAAATGCATAATATAACTAAAGATAAGTAAAAAAGAGGACTTAAGAAAAAAAAAATCAAAAAAAAAAATATCAGTTTAAAAGTGGACAATCTAAAATTTCAAATAAACTTATGTCTTATCAAGAGAAGAGAGTAATATATTTTTAATCAAGAAAAGAAAAAGCTCAGATATTATAGGTGGACTTTTTTCAATCTATCAAGGATAAAAATATAAAGAATGTAATTAAACAACTAAAACATCTTTGTATTATAACACAACTATATAGTGAAAGATCAAAATATGGATTCTACCATAGAAGATTTCAATTAAAAAAAAATGTAGCAAAGTATGTATAAAAGATAAGAAGATTATAAAAAAAATTAATGTTAATATTTATTTTTATAAAAAAAAGACTTCTATTTATTTTATGAAGCGATGAATAAAATAAAAAAAATAGATTTAAAAAATAAATTATATAGACAACTTTAGAATAGAGTTAAGAGTTGTTTTTAGTAAAACAAATTTTAAGAAATTAAGAATTAATATCCAAAGACGACCAATTATGAATTAGGATTGAATTTAGACCTTAAGGCTTTAAAGTATATATTTATAATGTTTTAGAGGTTTTTTTGCTAATTGAAGAGTGAGATTATAGAAAGGGATTTAGAAAGATTTTTTTAAAATTATTTTAAAGTAATTTTAAGGTATATTGAATTTTAAAGAGCTTGTTCATGTAAACAATATTTTTATTAATTTTGGATTTTTAATATTTGTAATTATTATAGCAAATATATAAGTAAAATTTTGGATATATTTAAATGTACTTGTAATAAATTTAATTTAAAAATTTAATGTCAATCAAATTGTTAAATTAAAGGATGTGAGAATTCGATTGGAATAAGGTCTTGGATTTATAAATTATAGAGTGAATGAGATTTTTTATAATCTTAAAGAATCAGCTTCTTTGATTGAAGCAAAAGTTTTTGAAAGCATAGTGGCTTGGCTTTCTATACTCTTGTAAAAATAGAAAACCATTGAATGGTTCAACAAGGAATAATTTTTGCTACAAGATCAACATTTAGGTTAAAAAATGAAGAAAACCATCACCTAAGATTATTAGGATGTTTTTTTTTTTCAATTCATAAGTTTGATTTTTTTAAAACTTTGTGTATTTGTTGTTTCTTCTTAATTAAAATTTAGAAGTAATTTTAATCAAATACAATGGTTTAAATAATAATTAATAAAGCTTTAAAATTACCTCAAAATTTCAGTTAGGAATTTTTTAGGATTTTTTAAGATTCTATTTGAATTTTCTTAGAATTTACTTAGGATTTTTCAAAGTTTTTATTAGGATTTGTTTAGAATTTCTTTAGACATATATGAAGGTTTGATTAGAATTTACTTAGGATTTTTTTAAGATTTATTTTTTGATATTTTTTTAAGATTAATTTATTATTTCTTATTGATTTTTTTATGATTATTTTTAAAAAATTCTTTATCATTTCTTAAAAATTCATTAAGTATTAATTAGGATGGCTAAGATTTAACTAGGATTTATTTGAGATTCTATTAGAATTTTTAGGACCTTTGTTATTGCAATTTCTAATTTAACTTCTAATCCAAGTGTTGGCTACATTTTTAAGTAAGACAACAAATAATATGACAATATTTTTCGAATAAATATGACCAAAAATAAACAAGTATATATATATATATATATATATATATATATATATTCAAGAAGAAACTATAATGGCTATTACCAAAGACTACAACACTAAAGACTCTTGAAATTAGTTTAGAAAGAAGAAAACAATTGATAAGAAACAAGATGGCTTCACTCTTGCCTCCATATATCTATAAATATATCTACTTCTACCTATTCATATTATTTAAGTAATTATTGGAATAAATATGTATATTCTTAACATGGAGTTTTTAATTGAATATTTCAATATCTTATAAAGTAATAGAAAACTATTTGTTTAAAAAAAGAAAAAATATTATACTTGGATACATATCAAATATATATGATCATATGTTTATTGATATGTATTCAATTGTTCAAATTAAACCAACTAAACATGCTACATTTATCAAATGATTATAACTAATATACACTAGATTAATAAATTAATATTGATATTATATCAATTTGATGTCACATATTAGAGTGTATCAATTTAGTTTTTTTAAAAATACTATGTAGAAACAACCAAGACATGTCCTACTTAGGAATTTTTCATACATAAAAAAAAGATTGTAATTGATTAGAATCAAAAATCTTTTTTAGTTTGGTTTATATATAGAAAAAAGATCTAAGGTGCCATAAGAAGAGAAAATATATTGAACTACAATATTTTTATTTGATGTGAATAGTGTTGTTTCATGAAGTTTTTTTTACTAGACATGCCTCACAAGGTGGGTTTACAAATAGTTAAGAATATTTAACAAAAAAACTAGTAAAACTATTTATTAGAAAATTAAAAACATTAAACCATTTATATTTTTCATCATTGTTGTATGTATGACATGAGTTGACATACTTAGAATTTGAATAAACAAATGGATTGTTGCTATAATATATAGAAAGTGTAATTATATTCAGATAAAATTACATCAATAGCCAAAATATATAGATAAGATATATATTCTCAAGAAATATAAATATTGGGTTATATATATATACAAAATATTTTCTATATTAACTTATATATTCCTCTTATTTGTATATCTATTTTGAATTAATATTTTAAAAAAATTAAAATAATAACTAAAAATTTTACATTCAATAATCACATAATAATTGTCTGTAGAATCTATACATAAAAAACCCCAAATGTAAACATTATACCAATATGATTTTTTTAATTTAAAAATCACTTTATTTATGTTAATTATTTTTAAAGACAATATGATATTTATTACTTGAACAAAGTTTTATATTATTTACTTGAACATACTTTTACATCATTTAATTTTATTATAATTCTGTAATACTAGTAAAAAACACATCCCTTGGTATCCAAATATTATTATGACATTAACATTCAAAAAAAATTGTAAATAACCATATCAAAGAATTGATTACAAGAAAACTGTTTTTTTAGGAATTGTCTCTATTTGGAATATATATATATATATATATATATATATATTCTACTAACATAGTCAAATGTTTTGGATATATATATTTTTTTGTAACATCAAAATTAATTTAGATTATTGATTGACATTTTTATATAAAATAAGAAAGAAAAATAAACCAAACATGATACAATTTTATTTTCTTCGGTTTTTTTATTTAAATTATTTTAATAGTATGTATTATTCAAAGAAAATCGTTAATAGAAATTGTTCAAAATTCATGAACGGGATTCCTGAATTCCAGGTGGTGCTGAAATAATAACCAACTACACAATTTATACATTTGAACAACGTTTGATATGAAGAAGAATACACAATGTTCGAAAATTATGCACATACTGGCCATTTCTAAACGTACATTTAGCTCAAAAAATTACACAAAGCGACCGAAGCAGATACCAGAAAGGAAGTATGATTCTTTGTTCTACTCAGTCTTCCATAATTCTTCCAGTTCAACATTCTACTTCACTACGACACTGACCACTGTTTGTCTCATGATTCTTCCAAATTTCTAGATGCTCTCCATATAACTGTGGAGGGTAGTGCGTTCACGGAAACTATCGACACGTTGACATTCATTAGTCACCACCTGAGCATACACAGTACAACGTCGGTACACAAATGCTATTTACACACAACGAAGTGCAAATTCCTTGGTACAATCTCTTCAGGCTTTGTGGAATGGTAGTCCAAAGCCTACAATGGCACGGGGTATGGACAAACGCAGCTAGCCTAACATCGAGAGATCCAAAAAAGCGAGAGTCGGTCGAACCCGAAACCCGATCAGTTTACAAATGTCCAAAGATGCGAAATTTCTACCGTCCAGAGTGCCAAACCCGATGTGGACACCTAATCCTGAACTGCTGCCTGAGAATATGCATCCACCAAAATCCCCTCCTCCATTGGACCTGCTCTGGCTTTTGCCTGCTGTGGATGTACCTCCTCCAAAAGCTGCTGTTCAAGTTCCACTCTCGCTTCTGCCTGGTATGGGTTTTCTTCATCAAGCAGCTGCTGCTCAATCTCCACGCGTATCGCTGCCAACTCTCCATACTGCTCATGAAGCTCATCACTGCCTTTCTTCGCCAGAAGAGTCCACCTAAACGCACTCGCATGGCTTGCACGCTCCAATATGGAAGCCAGCGGCACAAAACCATCCGTCTCTTTACAAATCCATCCATGGGCTGCTCGAATGGCTGCACCCAGCGGTGCTGAATCTATGGAAGCTCAAACCACAACTTCGGAGATTAGAAGAATCCTCAACCTCGTCCCACCAATTATTTCCTACAGCTCCCAGCGAACCAGTGATATGCATCACAAAAAGAGATGTCAACTACCTGGGCAATGTGCAGTGTAAACATCGCACCCAAATACGGACGCCAGCAAGGTCAACAGGTGCTTGTTTCTAGAGCCTCCACCAGTGGCAATGATACGATTGGGTGGGCACGGCATGCCGATACGTTCAGCATGTGCTCTCATGGCCACAAATTGACCTTCCACGATCGCACGAACCTACAGGTGAAGAATGTCAGTTTCAGACCAGAGAACACAACAACTGGGCATCTTCCACAACTCATCAAGCGAACAAGTGCAAAGAACCACCAATTCCTTCAGCTGACCTCTGCAGCAGCATCAAAATGTGGGACCTTCTTAGCCTTCTGGACGCTGTAAGCGGTTCTGGAGCCTTGCCCAAGAATATAACGATGGTATCCAACTGCAACACAAGGTAAATAGTGTCAGGATCTTCTCTAATGCATCTGAAACTATTGCACTCTTCGTGTAACTGTCTAAGGATCCGGGAATGAAAAACAATGCCCCAGATGCTGATTTCCATCTGATGACACAAGGGCTGGGGAGAAATGGAAACAATTTTCACATGGTTAGAACTCCACCTGGTAGAGGAGGCAGACTTTCCCACTCTTTGTAGTAAAACCCCATTCTCCCATCTGCATAGTACCATCAGTCGATTAGATGTTTCTCCCAAGTATGCAAACGTGGTTTAGCACGTTCAGTCTGTTACGGCTCGAACTAATATCGTTTCAGCTTCGGATAACTAAGAAGATTTATGCTTCACATTTTTTACATATTGTACGGGGCTTCAGCAAAGAGCAAGTGTATATAGCCTGTTCAGCTGTAGTGATTCAAGCAAAAGATGAATGATGAACCAAGTAAAATCTCCACCATTCAGCCACAAGCATGTCGCTCACTGTTCAAAGGGGATGTTGTGTCTAGAAGTTCGTTGAACCTCTCCCACGACCCATCGGCATATTGATCTCGTATCTCTGAGAAATCAACAGTTTTAAGGTCAGTACTTTATCGTAGCAGGAATCCAGACGACAGAGCTGCAAGAGATCATGTACCAAGAGCAACGATAAAATCACATTACACTGCTCCAGATTGTTCAGTTTAAATTACTCAGTGACCATAATGTGTACCTTCTCTGGAAAGTGATCCATTTTTGTGAACTAGCATAGCCACGTAACTACTTGGATCAACAGGGTTGGGAAACACATGTCCATCCAAACCCGGATAAGGGTCGTTGGTCACGCCAAACACCTGCAGCTCCGTATGAGTTAGAGAAAAAACATACAGAATCCAACAACTTTGTGAACCAGAAGAACGAGCCCATGTGCAACTCGCCACAAAGAAGATCTCAAAGTGCCAGTAGAATTAACTCACTGTGTCACCAGTACCCAAGCTTATCGCAATGTCACCAGGATGGGTCATAATCAGACCTGCACTCATGCATCATTTGATGTTCAAAACCTTCATAAACAGAAGCAAGCTCCGTGAATCCAAGCGAAACAAAAACTAGAGACAAACACAAGTCCACTCATCCTCTGTAGTGGATAGTGACGGAATGGATGAGTCAGAAGATAGCAAAAATGCATAGAATGGTCACGGACCTGCCAAGCTGCATGGATTGTCTCCGGACCAATGAACAACTTGACAGCTTGAACTAAACTTGTAGCTGCAATTAAACATCAAGAATCATATCATTCTCACGAAACATGATGAAGATCATCCAGAAACAACAGATCAGATCAACCATGAAATTGTGTACAAGATTTGTACCGGTCCACATAGTAAGGATGCAGCAGTCCAGCGACTGAATGTGGGACCGCCAAGGGCCCAAGCTTTTCTTCCAACCGAGGTGCTGTTGCCTGTCAAAGTGTACACAACATGCTGTTCAACATCCAATATTTCAGGACGAGTTTAGGATTGCAGCCTTACGAAGCACTGAGAAAAATAATGCGTTTAATGGTAACAGCCCCACTGGAAAAGATATCTTAGAAAGTAATGTACTTACGTTCAATGCATCTGGAGACCAAGTACGTTGATGTAGGTCCATAAGGGTCATACCAGCAGCATCACTGTGATCAATAGCCACATAGTCACCCACCAGTAATGATGCCATGAAAGAGCTGATTAAAGACACTCTTTCTGTTTCATGATATATGTCTGCCTGTGTTTCATATATCTTTCGGATTTGTGGCCCCGTATATCTTTCTAGAGATCGAGAACCTGCCTCCGGAGTGATAACAAATTAGCGGAAAAATCTTTCAACTGAATTAAACAAGTTTTATGAATTTTTAATATAACTTTAAAAACAAAACAAAACAAAAGAGAGGAATCTTCAGTTTTCATTCTTAGAATAAACTGGACAAATAGAAAGGAGGAGAAGGAAAAATAGGAAGTGAGGAAGTGAGGAGAAGAAGAAGACGAAGAAGAAAGAAATTAATCAGATTGAAATGCTAATTGCAGTAATGAAACACTCTTGCTCAAAAGGGACAATGAAAAGAGAGTATACTCTCATAGACATAACATGGGCTTTAGTGATCACCCCGTTCCTTACCTGTTAAGGCAGTGACGTGAGCAGCACCGCCAAGAGCTTCCTCTATTGCAGAGCACTGTTTTGAGGTGGTACTGTCCATCCACATTGGTGAATCCTTTGTTGCAAAAGCATTTTGAAGTTGCGCAACTAAACTCTCAGAAGGATTCAAATTCTTCAGATGTGAAGTTCGGGCCCCTTTGGCCCAGTAGACACTGCCATGCTGTTGAGCACTTCCAGAAATGGCGATAATTTTATGAAAGGGAAAATCCTCCTCCGCCAGTTTAGCCAGTATGCGGTCAAGTGCTTCAACCCACATGAGGACGGGGCCAGTGGTACGTCCTTTGACTGCAGGTGACCATGACATGAAAGGTTACGATGACACGAAAAGAGACAGTTTAATAGAATTCAAGAGCACCATTCAAAGTGTGAATAGGTTCAAACCGTGGTAGTCTAGAAACGCACTGAGACGATGAACAGGGCACAGAGCAACGAACATTTCCAAGGAAAGACAACCAGTGCATGAATAGGTGGCGGGTAACGGGGGCTTCTGTTAATCGATGCAAGGGATGGGTGCATTGTTCCTCCAAGTTCAAAATTCTGAACTTAGATGTCACTAATACTTGGCAAATATGTACCCGCACAGAAAAGGCAATCAATAATCAAATGACATTATAATTTTTGGTTATTAACGCAGGTTGGGAACCCTGTAAACAAAACATGAATCAAAAGACAAAAAGCACTCTGGCACCATAAACCGTAAGCGCCGTGGATTACCGTGAGGGTCTCGATGAACACCATCCTTGGTGCCATAATGCGAAAGATCGGTGTCGTAATGCACCTTCGCAGTTGAATACAAGCGCAACTGGGTATCAATAACAGTGGCCTTGAGTGATCTAAAACCATCGATGAAGAAAACGTCTTAGTTGGGATTAACTCTTGTATTTTAGTGAACCTAGCTCCGACATTGCATCATGCAGGAAGCTTGCAAAACACTACCACAATCACATGAATGTGTCCAATTTTTCGTTGGTACACAACTAACTGAAAGCTCCGCCATAGATAATTCACTAAACCAAACACTCAACGTAGTTAACCAACCCAAAAACTACGAACACGTTTCGCTGCAAAATTCTCTTATCGAAAACCCAAAGGTCATGGCAACGCATAAACTAAACCAACAAGCTCAACCCCCAGCGCACATTAATTGTGAAGGGAGAAGAGAACGAACTGCGTGGAACTATCGAAGCCAAGAAACAACCCATCCTCCGGAATGCACCCCACAATGACAGGTACGGCGCCCCTGCTTCGAATTCGCGCGCTATGTCTGCACCCACCGAAGCGCAGACGCAAGGTGCCACGTGACGAATAGCACCCCAAAGCGGTCGGTACCGCGCCCAGGCGACGGATTCTCCCAGCATGCGAGGCGGAGCTCAAGTTGCGCGCCACCCCCCACAAATTAACACCGGGAGGACAGCAGTACCCCACGGTGGCCTGCATCGCACCCGAATCCCACTCACCTCCAATCGCAACACGCGAATGCAAGTGGCACTAAAATGGGAGGAGAGAGCAGAGGTAGTGCCGCGGAGGTTCCAAGACTAACCGAGGGGCGTTATCCACAATCAGCCCTCCCCTGCCCTGCCCTGCTTTTCCTGCCTGCCTGTCGCAGCTCTGATGCTTCCCAGATTCCCAGACAGCGCGTGGGAGGTGGGGGACTATGGAATCAGCAGCTGCCCCGGTCCAGTTCCATTCCAAGCGGCGAGGAAGCCAGCAAAGGGAAAGAAACAAACGAGAAGAACTTCGAAGTCACGGAGTGGAAGAAATAGCAGGCTGGCAGTCTTCCCTACGACTACTACGACTATTACTACCACTGCTCATCTCCAGATTCCCGAGACACCTGCTGCTCCATTGCTCCTCCATTCTTGCTTCCCCTTTTCCCCTCCTTCACTCCGGACCCACGAGGATCCGGGTCCCGAAGAGCGGGGAGGCATCCTCCTCTCCTCGCGGCTGCTTCACAAGCCCCACCTGACATGCACTCCGGAGATCGATCCCTGGATGGATGCGTGGATGTCTGCGTGAGTGGGTGAATGGATGCATGACGTCGGCATTCCAGCAAGCCGATTTGGATAAAAAGACAGGGACGGCGATAGGGCCCCACTGGGTGGGCACTCTTGCGTGGGGTTGTGTTGTGTTGTCATTCTGTTTTCGTACTTGGGGTGCTTTCATGCTCTTCTGGGTTCGATGTCTTCTCATGGGATTCTTGTTGCTTGATTCACTCTCTTCTTTCCAGAAAATCAATGTGGGCTTGTAGGAAAAACTTGTTCTGTTGTGTGTGTCTGTGTGTGTGTGTTGTTTTTTTTTCTTTTATCTCTTATCTCTCGCTCTCTAGCCCCCCCCCCCCCCCCCCACATGTACCCTCTGCATGAATTGATGTGGGAACTCTATCATTGACTTATCTTTTTATTCTCTATAAAATGTTCGCCAACTTATTCTTCTGGTCTAACGCCACCGCTTGGGAATATTTTATGATAATTATTTCTAAAAAAGGTACTTCTTCTATAGCCTTTTTGAAACTTCTGTTTTCTATTAGAATCTTTAAAAATGAATTCCATAGAATTTTAGAACCTTTTACGATCTTCAGCACATTCTATTAAAAGTTTCATGGAATTAAGATCTCAAAGTACAAATGAGATCTAAAATGGAAATATACCCAAATCATGCTAACACAATTTATGCAGCAATCTATGTATGATGTTTTTATTCCTAGTGACGGTGGTTTAGATCCATTTGGTTTTTGATTTGAGTATCTTATTTTTTATTTATTTGGATTCTTGTATCATAAAACATATATAAAGATTTTTTTAAATTTACCTTTTCAAAACCATAATTACTATATTGTATCAAAATAATTTAAATTCTCTCTTTAATAATAAAGCTACCTTCACCAACAAAGCTTTTTATGCATATATGTAAGAAATTCACTTTAAAATCGCATAATTCTAAAATGACACATAAATACATTGCATGTATTTTAAAAGATGCATATTCATTTAATTTTTTTGGTTTGATAATGTCGTTCTATTTTTTTATATAATTTTTCTTTTAAGTATATAATTTTAAGAACTGAAATATAATTTTTAATAATTAAAAATATGTATTTTTTTGTAAAAATTATATTTTGATTTTATATATATGAACATATAATGAAATATTTAAATTATTTGATTTACTTTATTTAAATTAATTATTTTTTTAAATGTATAATTCAAATATGTCTAATTTTAAAACTCATATCAAACATACTATATATATAATATTTAATTAATAATCTAATTAATATTAGTATTATAAAATTGATAATAAAATAAGGTATTTTTAAACTCAATTTTTACTTGTATACATATTTTTCATTACTACATTTAAAAAGGACGAGCTATTAGATATTTTTCAACTTACATTTTATTAAAATAAACATAACAGAACAAGATGATTTATTCAAGTACTACATTAAATACAAAATAGAATATAATTCTTAAATATTCAATGAATTTCAGCCAACTTCTAAATTTACATTATAAAATTTTAAAGCATTGATTTGAGTTGAACTAAAATATCAAATAAGTATATAAATATATAAATAACCTTATCAAACATATTTTGCAATTACAAAAAAAAATTACAAGTAATATTAATCAAATTTGATACTTACTGTTGCATGACAATCACTAATGATTACATGCATACATATGTTGTTATTGGAATCTGTATTAATAGAGGGCATTTCTCCTTATAAAAATCATGAAATGTATGTATGTCTATAAATTCTCATGTCAAATTTTATGTTTTTTATTTTTATTTTTAGATCCGAGCCTTTATTTTATTTAATGTTTTAACCATTCATTATTTTTTTACATTTTTTTCTCTTACATTTTAAGTTGTGTTTTTCATTCTTAATTACTTCGTAGATGAACTTCTTTAGAGATTCAAGACAAATCAGGGACCTGGTGATGTTCAAAGAGCCTCAATGAAATATTGTATCTATGTTTGAAAGCATTCAAATTTATCACGTCAACTTCTTAAATGTTGGTAGGAGCTTCTAATATTGTTTAACTTTTGAAATCTTAAAAATATGACTGGTCTTAAGAATAAGCTTAATTTTTAAAGATGATTCACTTCAAGTGTATTTGCTTTAGATACTTTATCTTCATATTTTTAATTGTTAGACAACAACTCATTCCAATATCTAAAATCAAGTTTTAGAAAGTTAAAAAACTTGATAATATGGAGGGGTGTAGAAGATATAATTCTTTTATGTTGTGATTAAAATTGGGACGAAAAACAACTTTAATTATGCTAGAAATCTATTAACAGAATAATTCTCGTTCTGTGGCTTCACTGTCTTAATGTTAACAGTCAGTGTGTCAATGCCTCAATTTCGTGGATTGTTGCCATCACATCCACCTGATATTGGTTAGTCTATAATTTCACAATTCAACTAATCACATTGAAGTTTAGTATTGTAATTTTTTAATTACAAAATTAGTAACTTAAATAATATTCTTGAAAAAGAAGTATTTAATGTTTCTTTATTAATTTTGATTAATATTGCTTGTAATTGCATTTTAATCATTGTATTTATATCTATATCTATATGTATATACTTATTAATAGACTTATTATTAATATGGATGATTTGTATATTTGGTGTATTAGTAGAATTAGTTGTTTGCCTTTGAATTCTCAAAACAACCACATTTATACAATGATATCATACAATCATTTCTACTATATATATATATATATATTCATATCTTAATAACAAATCTTCCTTATATTAAGTTATACAATAATTGTGATAGATTACCAAAATAACGCCTCTTTTTTAGGGAATAAATATTTCACAATGATTGCAACATTACTTTCAAGAGCAAAAAGTACACCTCATGAAAATACACATACTGTTAAAAGTTTATTAACTACACATCAACCAATTACATCTTTTAATTCTATTGTATACAACCAATACATAGTACAAATAATTAAAAAAAAAAAAAAAAAAAAAAAAAAAAAAACTACATGGTTTAAATTATCATCAACATATGAGATAAGACACTTTATTCAAATCAATGTCAAAACTTGGACTATATTATTTTTATCTTTTTTAATGTTTTCATGTAAATTTCACTTATTGGGTTTAGGGAAATAATGTTGGATTTGTATTCAAAAAATTAAAATACATTAAGATAAAAGTATTAATGTGAAGAGAAGATAGTAAAAATAACACAATCAGAAAAACATAAAAAATCTATGTCAAAATACGATTGTACCGTCTACCAATGTCATGTGTAGTTTTAGATATTACCATCTTAAATTCACTTAACTTGTGAAATAACCACTTAAAGTTCTGTAGATGATAAAATAATACAAGATATTTCAATTAAGATTTTAATAATGCATTTAAAAAATATATATGAAACTCTTTGAAATAACAATGTGGATATTCCACACCTTCCAAAAAAACAAAAAACAAAAACAAAAAAGGGTGGCGTTGGCTACATTTTGACTGATATGGCAAGGTTGGCAACATTTCATCTTTTCCGCACAAAAAACACATAAATGATTGTGGAGTTGAATTCCCCAATTTGTTGCACACGCTACTTCCAAACCACAAGCCCATGATTGCGTAATTGAAAGTGTCTGTAACCCGGACAGGGAGACGTTATTCTACATGAAATGTCCACGCTCAGCAAAGAACGATTAGTTATTGCAATTGAATACAAAGCGAGAAGACCACATGGAGAAGCTACTTCGTTCAGAATGGTCACCCACGCAATGAGAAAAAGGTATGTTGAAGATGAACAAAACAATCAGTTTCACAATCAGAAGTTAAATTAGAAACATACTATCTAGACATATTGCAAGTACTACGAGTGTCGTTTATGCCGAGAATGACTCCAGAACAGTTCTAAGCAGGTCTTGTGACGAGGCCCACTGTTTATCACTAGCACTCACAACAAATAAGAGGACAACATTACCACTTGCTGTTGCAGCCGCTAAATTGTGTGCACCTGTCAATGCAAAAGGCGTCTCCAGTTGATAATTGTAGTACTGCACAAAAACATGACCACAGTATGATGTAAGAAAGTGGCCAGTCCTACAAATGAATCTATACAAGTGCTTGGTCAATTATAAAAATGTCTATACTCATGCAGAACTCCTAAATAAGACTCGTAATGCGCCGAAGTCTGCACACGGATCTTTTTATGTAGGACATGCATCAAAAAGCTTAGGATTCAAATATAGAAAATGTTACTGGGAAGACGAAGCAAAAATTATTGATTTAAAGATACTGTAAAGCAGGTGAGCTTTCTTGTGCAGGATACTGACATATGGGTAGCACTCGACTGAGAATCTGTCGCACAAACCCTTCTGAGCTCTGTCCAACAAATTCCAACTTCTACTGAGATCTAATCAGAGTAGCAATCTTTGAAGCATGTTTTTTAAGTTTTTAATAATTTTTACTAATTTTAATGGTGTTTACTAATAGATCTTGCATGCTGTATATCATATATTCTAGAGCACTCACTACCAAGTATAAAATTTACATAATTTAGTGTTGTCTCGAGATCTTTCCTTATCTATGCGTGTTCAAAAAGAGGATCATAAACGGCTGATTTTGAAATTTGGGTTTCTGGTCTCTTAGGGTCATTTTAGGTTAATTAAGGTCCAAAATAAATCCCCAAACTACTCGCCATTGGGAGAAAAGAATAGATGTACATGGGATATTTGAGCTCAGGCGTATGTATGCATCCAAAAAAAATCAGTTTATTTACAGATCTGAAGGGTATTTGAATGTAAATTTACGAACTGCTACTAAACTCCTGCTAGCATCATTTAAAACCTTGACACCTCTAAGCGAATCAAGTTCTTCACCGAGTCATAGTCATGCTGAGTTATGACAAGCTTCAACATGGGGAAGCATGCAGAAGACTTGAACCAGTTCAGAATTTAGTTTTATATGAAGTAGTTATTCCAGGTGTCAGTCATCCTCAAACAAAAGCGAAACATTCCGGTTCAGATAGCGATACAAATAGACTACCGCTAATCTTGAAATCATTGGTGAACTTACAGTAAGATCGCCTTTCTTTTCGACGCTAGTCTCCAGCACCTCATCAGGGTCAAAGCTGTTGCCAGTCACAAACGGGCCTAAGGCAGAAATAATCTTTTCAGGGGGGCCAATCTCCTCAATACTGGCGTTAGCCTTGTTTGTAAGACGGACCATAGGAGATACGACCACTTGTACAGTTCCTTCTTTGGCATTTTCGAATTTGACCTCCACCCATGGTTCTGCGCATTTAGGCTGACAATAATTTCCAGAAAGAATGTTGGCTACTCTTACTGGTTTCCATGCTGGGGGTAGAATGAATTTATACGGTTTCACGTTCCCTGTTATGTATGCACACACCGTCAACAAGTGAAAAACATAGACAGAAACCTTTGAAACGTCATCAAATGGGGCTGATCTAATCAGAGTAGCAATCTTTGAAGCGAGGAAGACTAAACGGGGTGGAAACTTGGCAATACAGTAAACACCCGAAAGTCATTTCATTCCCTCCAACTCCAACCATAGTGCCTCCCATACTTTTCAGAAAGGGAATTAATGCGACATTTTTGAACAATTACTTACTGATGTAGTATAGGATATCTGCACCGTTCAAATTGAGACCTCGTAACCCCCAAAACATACAATGCTCCTCTTGGATTGGACTTTGCACATCATTCAAGGTTGACCGAATTGAGAAAGCCATTTCCAGAATGTTGTTCTTACATAACTTGAAATTTATGGTGTAAAAGACCCATATGAGAATTGCGAAATTCAAATTTTAGGATTCCAGACCCAGAAATGAAGAAGGAATAGGGTCCGAGTTACTGACCAGCTCGAAGAGCGGGAGTGTCTTTGGGACTAGCCACGAATTGCACGTAATTAGGATTTCCCTCTGCAGGTGGCAAAAACGCTCCTACTTCCACTTGCGTGTACGCCTCAGCGCTGTTGCCTACACCCAGTATCAAACTCGAGGCCACCCCACCGAGAAGCAGCTCTCGCCTGCCAATCGTTACCACCTCTCGGCTGTCGGGAGATGACAGGGATTGCGCAGTGCATAGCTGAGAAGTGGATTGATTATTGGATAATGAACAGGAAACTGCGGGGTTGGAAGAGGAAGAGAACGAGAACCGGCCGAGGGAGGAAGAGCTTGGCCACAGCGGTTTGCTGCTGGTGCTGCACGACGCCATGGCTGATGCTGCCGCTGGAATGCACGGCATTTTCTACACAATAACAAGACAATCAGAGGAATTGCTACTATCGAAGCGTCGGATATGTCTGTGTCGCAAAACTAGAGAGGAACCCGAATTGGAAGCAGGGAGACTAAGATCTTTCTCTTCCATGGAGATTTAGAGATGATAATCAATGGAGAGAGATGGAGGAACTCATCTGCACACGCACATCCACAGTCTGGATTATCATATCCACTGCTGACAACCGGGCTGAGAACTAGGCCGCATTATATCCGTCGCTGTCAAAGCGTTGTCCACCTTGCACAGAAGCTTGGATTTAGCACTCGCTGGTTGCGGCTTGTGGCGTCCGTCGAAAAGGCCAAATTATCATCGATTGTATCTCACTAAAGTTTCAAACTATCAATGGATTTCATCGTAATAATTTCAGATCCTTGTCGACGTGGTCGATTGGGTCTAGACTCCAAACTCTGGTCCATCTCATTATGTAGGCAAGGATGAGTGAGCCTTAGTACTAATATAAGCATTCTTCGTTAACGCCGTAACGAAGGTTGCGGAAGGAAATGCTTCACCATCTTCTAAGTGTCGATCCTTTGTTGTTTCACGCTTACCGCAAGACTGGGCATTATGAATATCTCCAATGACGTAGAAACTGACCGAGTTTGCGACACCTCATCATACCAAAATTCACAACTAAAGCCATGATGAAATGCTCTTCTATCGTGGAACATCAATCGTATTGAGAGTATACTTGGACAAATTTCAATCCAAGAATACATGCTTTCCAGTCCCAATTTCTGCTTGTTTGTAATGGAAGCGAATAGTGCATTCCTTCACAACTGAACTCCATATCTTACGCATCTACAGAACGTCGAAAAAAAAAAAAAAAAAAAAAAAAAAAAAAGAAAAAACAACAATAGCAACAGTTTATACCTCCTACGAGTTTCGAGAGCTTAAAGGTTAACTACCCAGCAAAATGTTCGTGAAATACTTCTCCAATGCGGATCAGTTCATTTAGGATCGAATGCGTCGTTTATACAAACAAAAGCCAAAATGGGGGGCAATAAATTGCAAGGCACTGAGTCATCATTTCTAGCATTCGTTCCAGTTGTGTGAACGTTAGTCGTACTGCTTTCACCAACAACAAATCCAAATGATAACAAAATTCTTCAAACAGAGGATCTCAATATGGCACAGTCAAGTGCCAAGCTTGCCGTCACAAACCACTACAACAAATCTGCGAAACTACATAAACCTGGAGGAAATAGTTAAAGGTCAAGTTCAAATCCAAATCTCAGCACGCATGTCTAACGATGTATTCACCTTCTAAAGGTAATTGGTTCTATTTGCTCTCCTCTCTATATTATTGATAATCCCGGTAAGACCAAAAGAAGGTCGATCTAAGAAATTCTCGTACATTGATTCTGTCTTAAGTAGAGGCTCGAAATAATTTCCATACACGTACTCCGGAACGTACATCATTTCCTCTTCATTGAAAAAAATAATGTGACCTTGCCATTCCCACGTTCTGTACTCCCCGCTCGACTTCACGTCGTAAAATACACAGACTTGGTGATCTCCCACCTCAACAGAATTTCCACTATTTGGCTGCAGGCTCTCCCAGTTTCCACTTGTGATAATTTCTATAATCTTATCCGATAATGCGGAGGTTTCACGCTGAAGATCTGATCGCATAACAGGCCCGCTCGTTTCTGCAGCAGCTGCAATCCCAACCGCTGTTTCCACCTCGTTAACATCTTCTAATTCAAGACCAGTAGGCCGACCCATGTTGAACCCACGCAGCCACCACACAGTTCTCCACCGACAATACCACTCGTCTCAATAAATCGCTCTTTCCTACAACACAAGTTCATTGCATTTAGTCCCTTCCCTGGGAACACACTGCTTTCGGGCTTTCAAGTGATCAAACCCAACATTTCTAATCAACATCGAGATTACTCCACACCATGGAATTAAAAATTCTTCAGAATCAAAGCCCCTGTCTAGCAGACTCACGGAATTCCTAACCACACTCCGGGGAACACGAAAACCAAGGGCTCAGGGCAGTGAAACCACTTGTTCAATAGGATCCAAGCATTTGGCTGGGGCAGACTCCGACAACCACAAAAACCTCCTCGCAAACCAACAACAAAACCCTAAATTACAGAGAGACACCGCTTCAGAAACAGAGTGGCGTCATGGAATCGCACTTGAGAAAACAATTCGCAGGCAGCGCCAATTCACATCGGGTGTCCGGATCGCATCCGCGAAGACGACAACGACAACGATTGCTCAATCTGCGAATGGCCCAAAACGAAGGCGACGCTGCTTCGGTATACAACATAACCAAGCTGAAGTGTTCCCTCTTATCTAGGGTTTTACGACGACCGCCTGCAGTCGATCGAGCCCACTTCTGTGGACCGGCTTCCCCGCTCACTCCTTGCATCCCAAGGTGTCCGTGGAGAACGTGGTGGTTGCTATTATAAAGTCTCGTCCTAATGCAAATCCACTATTGTATTCTTCTTTTATTGAAATTTGCTGGATTTTGAAAATTGCCGCAAATAGCTTCTGTTTGATGAAGATATGGGAATTTTTAGTAGGAATTGGTTTTGTTAAGATTTTAACGTTGTTGGTCATCACCACAATAAATGTTTGGTGTTATTTTGGATTTATAAAGTTGTGAAAAACTTAAAATAACCAGATTGAAAAAATTTTAACTTTTTATTAGGACATACATAGAATTTCGTTTTTGGAGATTTTAACATTTTAAAACATATTTGGATTTTTTTTCTTTTTAAATAGTAGAGAAAGCATGCATTTAAATGATAATTGTAATCATAATATGAATAAACATAAAATTTCTAACCAAAATCAACAATTTTATAAGCATAAGCATTCTTTAAAAAATATCAAAAGTCAGCACAAATATTTTTTTAAATTATATTTATTATTATTGTAATTAATGAACATTAATAAATTTTATTTATAATATTTTTGTATGTTATACAATAATTTTCTTAGTTCATCCTTCAGAAGATGCTTAGGCTAATGGATGGATCTTTGCTACCAATTATAATCTCCTATATTAAGATTTTTAGACCATTAGTTACTTTGATTTTTATTAATAAATTTGCAAGTATTTTTACAAACATGTTTATTATTTCAATTAAAATCATCTCAAAAAATAAACTTTTGATTTGAACACATATGTCCCATATCCAAATTTGGCTAAAAACTAATGTCATGTTCTAAAACAATTGTAGCTTTTATATCTAGATTTTATACATTAACTTCTAAAAGATAAAATGATTTGGTTAAAAAATAAGAAAAGTAATAGCTTTTATTTGTTATTATATATACAATAAATTGAGTTTAATTATGAGACATTTAATAACTTAAAGTATTATTATTTAATCTTAGTTTACGTTTTTATTTACATCTTTTCGTATTTAGGACCATATCAGCTAAATATGATGTTTTTTTATTCATATTTATCTAATTTCTATTTTTTTAAGAAAATTAAAATTTTTAACTTCTTTTGTTTTCTTCTTTTATTAAGAATATTAATTTGTTAAGTTATTGCTTACAATAATAATATTAATAAATTTAGATAAAAATGAAATAATTTTATATTATATTAAAAAATATGTTAACCTAAATTATTAATTTAAATAATGATTTTATATTTTATTAATCATGGATTTATAATAAATAAGATTTGAAAATATTTTGAAACCTTTTGAATCTTTTAAAATCTTTTAAGAATATATATAGTAATTCAAAATATTGTTATAATATTTTAAAATTTAATTTAGCTTATATGTATATTTTAAATAGGATAATAAATAGGTACTTAGTCTAATAAATAAAGTTATTAGTATGTAGTTTAAGAGTCTTTGTTGTAGAGTATTTTTTTACAAATAAGTTTGTTGAGGAAGAATTCTCTAAATATGTATGTGAGGCTCATTTGATGCAATTTCTTGTTATTCATTGCAATTACTTTTGCAACTTCTATTCTTATTCATTGTTGTACCACTTCACTTATTGCTGCATTTGTTTTTTTGTTTTATTTTTTGTTTTTTTACTTTTTAAGGCGTTGCTACAATCTTTTGCATACATTTCTATTTATCTTTAGTGATCTTATATTAGTGCCAAATTTACTTGAACCATCACATTGTTACCATAGAATTGTGCCATAAGATAAAAAAAATGTAGCTACATAAGTATTAGAATAAATTTTTTTAATGCTTAAAATATTAGTTTTGCAATAATTGCTTATATTTACAAATATTTTGATATTAAATGGAATTAAATGTAAGATCTATTTGACGTAGATTATTAATGGCTAGTAGAAAGCTATGTATTCTAATAAGATCAAGTTAAATTGATTGGAGTCAAAGACATGAATCTCAAAAAAAAAAAGAATCTCAATACACTCTTGTGTCACTCAAAAAGACTAAGAAATCATTCAAAAATGGTAATATATTAAATTAAAATAGCTATTGCCAAAGATAAAAAGACTACAAAGTCTTGAAACAAGACTAAAGACTAAAAAGGCATTGATAAGAGTGAATAAGGCTTTATTCTTGCCTTTATATATAATACATAACTAGGAGCTATGTGGCAATGTTCTACAAGACATCCAAAACATGTTGACTTTGTAAGAAACATATTTTAAGTTACAAAGTAAGTTTTTTCTATACACCTCATATAGTTAGTTTGTTCTACAAGCTATCAATAGATGTAACACGTTATTGTATTGTAATACAACTATATAGTAAAAATATAATAAAAAATAAATTTCTAATTAATATTTAATTATTTTTATTTAATAGAAATTTAAGACATTTAAACATGGATTTTATAAAAGCCTCTTAGTTTAGTTTCTTATCTTAATGGCTAGTAGATTAAAGGTTGATTAGTAATTTTACCTTCTAGATTGTAGAATTTCTTTTAATACCTAAGAAAGGCCATAAATTGATAAAAATAGGATAGAAGAGATAAATAATTAATATGGTTGTTATTAGAATTAAGTTGATAGTAGGGTCGGCCTAAAAACCCCTCTGATAGGTTGGATTGATATCTGAGGGTTGACCATTTGTCGAACAAGATCAAAATCAAATCCCTAGCAACTAAAATGGGTGCCTAGGAAAAAGTAGAGATTCATTTGTAGATTTGCAATTAGAAATTGTGAGCTAGCTTTAAGCTTATTCTAAAGGTATAAGACTTGTTTTCATAGGATTTGGAATGACTTTGTCCAAAATGAGGATTTGTGTTAGTGACTTGAGATTTATGTGGTATAATTAAGGCTAGCACTTTTGGCTAGTTCATGCAATTGGTATCACATCTATAATTCAAAATTTGAAAATACTTGACTGATTAAGTGTGTTAAGTAAGTGTAAAATTTTGTATTAATCTAATTATCCAATTGAGAGATATTTGGATTTTGATACAAGATGGTATCAAAAATTGGCGGTTTGGGGTTAAATAGGATTTCTATGATATCTAAATATCTATTAGTTGGATCAAGGTGAAATTTGGCATAGTATTAGAAGACTTTAAGATCAAGCTACATACCACTTTTGAGTTTAAGTTAATAGTTGAAGAAAGAAAAATTACTACTAGAATATCTATATCAACTTTTAAGTTGGTGGCTAAGTAACATAAGTACAATTTTTTGGACTTTTTTTCACAATTTTTAAGTTGGATTATGTTGAAAAATTTTAAAAATATAGAAGACTTATAGTGGCTTTTGTATGTAAAATTTTGTACAAAGTGGATAGCCAAATTAGGAATTACAATTTACCAAAGGTTACTTACTAGGGTTAGGGCTTACGAAAAAAAATCAAAATTATCTAATTTTGAAAGTTACAAGGCAATTGGAATTTGTATATATTTGAGGTTACTAAAAAGAGTATTTTTGAGGACTTTATATTGGCTTTAAGTACTTTTGAATTAAAATTTGAATTATATTTTTTTTACATAGATGAAACCAATTAGGATTTTTTGGATATTTGTAAAACACAACTTCACCTTTCATAGCTAGATGCCTAGTGTATTTCCAAACAAAAAAACATATATTATCACAATGTGGTTAATTTATTGACCAAATTTTTAACCTATTAATAAATTACAAACATGTATAAAGTCAAAATTACATCTATGAAGCTTCTAAGAAGCTTTCTAAAAAATAATATGAATTAATCTATTTTTATTTATTTCTATCTAATCATATAGATGATTATTGGAATAAATATTCATCTCTTGGATATTATTTCTTCTTTTAGGAATAAATTCCAGAAGAAGTGGTCATCATATGTTGAGAAAATCTAAGATGCAAAAAATTATATTTACTACATCTTTTGATCTTTATTCTCTTTGAAGATGGTTGATAGGTCTTCTCAACCATCAATAGTTTTTCATACCAAGGCAAAAGGACCATCCTATTATTAAATTATTATTGAGACCTTCATAATTTCTTTCAAATAAAATATTTGGATCACCATAAAAAAATCACTCATACCTATAATAAAATCACCAAATATTAGAAGTCTTTTCCAAGTTCATGATATCAAATACGTTGTATCTTACCATCTATTTGAAGAAGAGCATGTCATTCTTGAGGATCTTCATCTCAATTACGTAATCTTGAAGGTTGTGATAATCACGATGTCTTGTTTGATAAATCAACAAATAATAGCTTTTAAATTGAATCTATTGGTTATTTATTTTTTATCTTTTTTAATTCTATAAATATATAAAAATTAAAAATAAAGATGAAAAAATATATTATCTTCTTTGGATTTGATTTCTTTTATAGTAAAGATTTTTTATTCTTCATTTTGATTTTGATGGATGTTATCAATGAAAAGCTTCAACCTTCTTTGCTATATTTATAAGATTTTTTGTTGACTCTTTTATATAATTACTAATATCATATCCATTTTAATAAATAAGATATTTCAAGCTATTTTGGTGATGCTTCAAATCTAAAACTTTATCTATCTCAAATTCTTGATTATTATCTACTTCTTTAGGAAGAAGTGACATTTGTCTTCTTCCTAAGATATTCACTATCTTATATGACTTAAAAAGAGATACATGGAATATGAGATGGATCTTCATAGATTTTGATAGATGTAATAAAAAAACAATAGGATTGATTTATTTACAAATAAAGAAAGGTCCAAGTCTATAGTAATCCAACTTATCACTAAGGCGGCTAGTCTTGATATTAAGACAAAATAATCATATCTTGTCGCTAAAGTAGAATTGAAGTTGATCTTTGAAATAGGCATCTTCATTGATTTTTTATTATTTTTAGGCTTCTTTTAATTCTGCCTTCATTATTGTATGTAGATCAAATAAACAATTTAATAAATCTTCTATCACA